AAACGCCTTGGGACTCCCAATGAGCTTCGCAAGTCCTCTGCGATGCACGGAGGGAGCCTGTGATTCCGGGCGTTGCTCCCTACGAGATCGGGAAGCGACTGGGTGCAAACTTCAGGAAAGCGCCGTCGCCGGCCGACGTCCGGACCGTTCCCACGGGCGAAACGGGGGCGATGGGAGACGCCAGCGGGCGCGAGGCGCTGCCTTCCTCCGGGAGGACGTTGTAAAACGTCCGGTTTTGTGCATTCGAGCACCAGAAGCTCTTGTTCTGACCTCCGAGAGAAAGGCCGAGCGGTCACGAGAAACGGATCCCCCGAACCTCTGCGTCCGGAAGACGAAGTGGCGCCTGGCCGCTGTCGAAGGAGAGCTTGGCAGGCGGGAGCGGAGAGGCCGGATGGGCAAGCCTGCGGGCTGCCAGAGCTCGCGACAGGGTGATGGGTGCTACAAATAGGAGGGAAGCATGACTTGAAAGCTAATACTATATAAGGACATTTGGCAGAAATTAAAAGTCAGGAAATAAAGAACGTTTATGAAAGAGGCAAAACCATCGGGGTAATACCCAAGATCGTCCGAGCAGGACAGCAACGTCTTTAGGAGCAACGGCTTCGCTTTAGAAAGCAATGGGGCAAAACTTCTAGCGCCAACGGTGAAAAAAAGGCAGGACTATTAGTCAATATTCACCTTTTCTTTGAAAAACCTTTCAATACAGGTGCAGCCCAGAAGGAAACGATCTGTTCAAGTGATGGAAGGTACTCTCCAGGGTTAAGGCCCTCTGTAAAATTTGGCTTGGTGGCACAGCAGACTGTTTTAAGGGAGTACTACGTGGCATCAGCGATGCGCACAGCAAATTATCAGCATCCGCTACGGACGGGTGCCTTGGGGACGGTGCGGGACCGGCTCGGTCGCAGCCCTCCTGGGGCGGCAGCACTCCGGCTCTCCCGGCGACGACTTCCCAGATGTGCTCCAGCCAAACATAGTTCACTGGGCTCAATGCAGGCACAGTTGGGAGAAAATGATGTCTATGATACACAGGAGTTGGTCAGATAATGTTTTAGCACCGTGGGGGGAAAAAAAAAAAAACAACCAAAAACGGTGATTCAATCAGTACCAAGTAGCTGTTACCTACAATTGCTCTAAACATGGCAATAATTGAACGTTTTAGATATAATGTTGCCCTAAAACGCCAGCAGCAGGGCACTGTGCACTCTGTCAATGTTCACATGAAATCATTTAAAAGAACGTAAAAAGAGGGAACCGAATCTGACGCATCGTTTTGCTGTCTGATGTGAAACGTCCTGCAGTTACCCGCACCGACGCTCCAGACGGCGGCTTGTGCGGGACATCATAAAGTGGGATAGAGCCTGGCCTAAAATGTCCGGATGGCTTGCAAAGTAGCAATTGAATTTCCGCTTTCCTTACTTCAGACGCAGCACAGATAGTCCTAGAATGTTTCCACTAAAATCTTGGTTTTCAAGTTTTTTCCAGGATAAAAGTTAAAAATATGTCCTCAGACATGTTGCTCTGAGCAGTCTGCGCTTTTCCCATTTAATTCCTTTTTTGCTTTTGTTTTCCCCAGAAGGAGTGCATGAGAAGGAAGGGGGGAGAGAAGGCTCGTTTGGTTCTTATTTTCTTTTAAAGCTTCATTTATTAGCCAAACGGTGACTGCCCCTCCAGTCTTTGCAGAGAGCTTTGCTTGCTTAGGCTCGGGCCCCGTCGGAGGCAGTAACCGTCCCGGGAGAGCGCGGGGCGTGAGCCAGGGCGATGCAAAGTCGGTGGTGGGTGCTGTGGCTGGCCGGCCTCTCCCAAGCATTTGTTGTGGTGGTTCGGGAAGGGCCCTTTCTTTAGAGAAACATTTAAACCACAGCTTAGAAACCACAAAAATAGGAGAGACTTGTAACCAACCTGTGAGTTAGCGAGTAGGCCAGTGTCTCTGAGCAGCCCTTGAACTCTGGTGAACATCTGCATGGCTCCTGCAACGGTGCAGTCACCTTTCAAACAGCTGGAAAAGCCTTTTTCCTTCACTGCCAAGTTTCCGTGAGAATTCGACAACTTCAACTAATTAATCATTTAAATTTAACCCAAAAGGGAAAACAATGCCATTGTCTTTGGGAGACAAGAATTCTGTTTTCATTAGCTTCGCAACCCCTTTGCATTTATGGCAGCGTCTATAAATATTTGGGCTTGCTTTTAGCTTTGAGCTCTGACGTAGGGCTGGGGAATTGGTGGAATGTGTTGTTTTGCAGTCTCAGATTTTAAAGACTTGCTTTGACCTAATGAGCGCTCCTGTTTAGGGCTGGTGAGCGTTAGTATTGAGTGGAGTGGCCTAGCTGGGACTCTACTGCTGGAGGAAGACAGAGAGGAGCCCACGCAACGCTGCAGTACTTGGTGTGGCTCCGATAGCCCCAGGTGATGTTCAGATCTCCTGGTATTTGTGCCGTCAAGGTGGAGCTGCTCGGGGAAGTTTCCATTAAAGCCTGATTCTTCTTGGGGGATGAAGAATAAAAAATGAGGATACGTGCTGTTGTTCATGGGGAATTCCTGAGGAGTACAATGAAAAACGGATACGTGCTCTAGAGGACCCTGCTTGAGCAGGGAGGTTGGACTAGATGATCCCCAGAGGTCCCTTCCAAGCTCAACCCTTCTGTGATTCTGTGATATGAAGTAGGACCGAGGGACCCTTTCTCTCCATGGGTCGGGTCATTTCTCTTTCCCATCTTCTGAGGTATCTCAACCTTTATTTCTTTTCATCTCCAAGGACTTTCTCTCCCGCCCATCCCATCTCTCAATACATTTCACATCTACTCTGTGCCCCGCTCTGAGCATGAGTAAGCGGCTGTCGATAGTGAGGTAGAGCAGAGACACGACTGAGCTCCTTGCACTGGTGGGGCAGCAGTTATCCAGATTGCCCCAGACTTCTGAATGCTATTGAGAGCAGTTCCAGACTGTTGCTATTTTATCCTAATTGATCTCCTGATTAGCACTGAATTTGTGAGAGGGGAAGTATTTCCATTAAAATCCTTAAGCGTTGCTTAGATTTTGGAGATTTTAGATTGGTGAGCAATCTCATTTTATAGTGATGCAATGAAAGAATTAGTGTTTAATGTCTTTGTAGAAGCAGTGTTACAAAAATGACCGTTTCTGGTCTAACTGGGAACATCTGTGCTGAGGACAGTTGCTTTTCCAGCTGTTTTATGGGGTGATGCAGAACAAAAGAGGTTCTGTTTACTTGGAGATCTGGACGTGGAGGGTTGTTTCAGCTTGCCTTCACCAGAAGGATTTTGAAAGCAAAATGCAGGAGAGCAGATATGTTTTGGGCTAACATATTAGGAGCAGAAGATGCCGGTAATCCGTGGTTCAGGGTATTTTTGAACTAGCCTGGAAGGAATGGCTGAATTCCTCAGGTCCCGCTCTCCTCCCCCTTTGGTCTGCTGGTTTGTGCTATTCTTGTCAAGTCCACAAGGAAAAGCGAGAAAAATATTTGCAACGTCCCAGACACATGCAGGGAGTGGCCTAGCTGATTGCCTGCACCCTGAATAGGAGTATTCCTATTCCTTAATGTGTATTTATCAGCTGATGAACCTCTTATTTTAAAGCACAGATAGATGCCAAACATCCTTGCCTTCCACTGCGGTGGTTGTCCTCGTGTGCCACTCTGGGCTCCTCATCAGTGAACAGGCCAAGCTCAGAGCGAAACTCTGGGAAATCCTTTCTTTGAGCTTTCTTACGGGGAAAATTCCCCAAAGGTCCTAGTATGAGTGTTGGTCACCGCTATAACAGCTCCTTGCTTTTGCTCTCAATGTTACTAGGCAGGAAGTTTCTCCTTTCTAGTGAGGTTTGTAACCATCTCTATCCTCAAGCCCATCCTGGCATTAAAAGGTTCATACCTTCAACAGCAGCAAGAGGTGATGTTTCTCTTCCCCCACCAGAAATCAGGGACGCCGTGGCCCGATAAAGTGTCCTCAGGAGGATGCTGACAGCTTCAGCACCAGTCCTGGCTTCCGGGGCTGGGCGATGGAGCTGCGTTCTCAACCCTCACAGAGCAGTGGCCTTGGCTGGAGGTGGCTGGGGGACCTCAGCCCCTCCAAGCACGGCTGGATGCTTTTGCAGACCTCGCTGCAGGCATTCGTTGGGCTCTGCTCTGCCTGTTACTTCCAAGCAGAAATGAGTCGCTTTATCATACGTTATTTCTCCCTGCTGTTGTGGGAAAGGCGAGTCAAACTGGCTGTTGGCTACTCACATTGAGCGTGGTGTCAGCAACAACCATCTCTCCCTTCCAGCGAGTCACGGACTGAGGAAACTCCCTCCAACATGTCATAAGCAATGTGGGAAGTGCTTGGGCCATAAGTAACTTTGGCCGCCATTGTCACCCCACGATGTTGGCTGGGGGTTGTTCCCCAGGCTCCAGGCAAAAGCGTGGGGCAGCATGGCATGTGAGGTCAGCAAGTGGTGCTTTGTGGCCACAAGAAATAATGTCTAGCAGGAACCACCGAGACATCCATTTCCAGCCATCAGAATGTTTTCTCTCCACAAGGCTCCAGTGGTGGGTTACCACCACTGACGGGTGGGATGGAGACCGGCCCCAGCTGCCTGCAGCCATCAGAAATGGCACCATCATGCGTGGAAGTGCATATAGATAAATACGCGTAGAGGTTTATGCCTGTTTTCAGAAAAGGAAAGGATACGTCATTGAGTTGTTCTGTGCCACTGGGGAAGCAGTATGTGACCAAGAAAACCTTTATTCACATAGCTGTTTCTAGCCAAGTGCCTTGTCCAAGTCCCAGTTTGATCACATAAAGCTCAGAGATGTTTCCCTCAAACAGGAATTCCTCATGTTTCCTCTCCTGACTCTTCTAGTGTTGGATATATTGGGGTTTTGTGGCTTACAAGAAGCCATAACCAAAAGCATTTTGACCACTTCTTTGTGGGGATAGGGTTTCATTTTTTGCTGAAACATGGCCCTCACAAACAGCCTCTGCGTACTGACGGAAACCTCTTTCCTGCAGGCTGGTGGTGGGAGCCCCCTACGAAACCAATGGACAGCAAAAGACGGGAGATGTCTACAAGTGCCCAGTGAACAGCGACACCCACAGCAACTGCACCAAACTCAACCTAGGTACCTGGCACCCACCCTGCGTTGGGCTCGGGGCCGCTGGGGAATGGGAGGGAACAGTGCCTTTTTGACACAGCTGGGTGAGTGGGCTATTTATGGGTCTTTAAAAATGCCCCCTGGCACATTGCCCAAATTCTCTCCCAGAACACGAGGACAGCAGGTTTAGGGAGGATTTTTAGATAAGAAATGAACTCAGGTGTTCATGTAACTCCTGGTGCTAGGCTTCAAGAAACATTAGCGTAAAGTCAAGCAACTCAGGATGAAACAAAAATTATTCATTATTTATTATAATTTATTATTTATTTATTATAACATAAATCGTTGCGTTTATTAATTGATGAGGACAAAATTGTCAGTGGATAAAATTCTTCGCTTGCCAGATTAGCTCGCACTTGCCCTCTTTCTCTGGATGGCACCCGCCTTCGATGCAGCCTGAGTGAGAACAGGGATAACTGGGCTGACACATCCCAGGTCTGAGCCCCACTAGCAAACAGCTTGCTGCGTACTCCCGTGTGTGTATGCGCTTCTGGGGGATGCTCGGATGACGTGTCCCCCAGAGGAAATTTCCTGGGAGGGGACAGGTTTTGCTGCCGGTATCAAGCCTGCCCCTGCAGCTTTGGTATTCAGGTAATAGAAATTTTCGTGCAGCGCCATCGCCTCGTGATGCTGCTTTGGCACAAGGAGCAGATGCCAGGGAAGGAGAGGTCCACAGCCAGATCCTCTCCAGCTCTGGGAAGGACAACCCTTCTCACGAAGAGGCGGAGAAGTCCACTTCTTCTATACTGCCGCAATCTGTATGCGTTTTTAGTCTGCAGAGGCCTAAGTGTAGGAGGAGCTCATCTGAGCTGTACCAATGTCTCAAGCATGGTCACCACCAAACCCCAAGCTGCCTGCGTAACGTCATGGATGCAAAAGCCCAAAAGTGCCATTCAGCCACTAGAGCACCATCAGGAGACGTGCAGACTCGTGCACATACAGGGAAAAATACATGAAGTCAGCCACCAGCTCCCAGCCATAATAACCTATCGCAGCAGCACCCGCATTGCTGGATGACTGTAAAATACAGTCTCGGGTGCCAGAGCTCAGAGTTATTTAGTGAGAGCTTGGCCAGCATCATGCTATTCCTCCAGCACAAGTCCAAGACCTCTTTCTCAGCGTTCTCCTCTTGGGCTAATCAAGCCCTGACCGTGCCAATACGAGAATATTGGGATGCTGCGACCTGACCTTGCCCAGTCAGAGCAGTGCAAGGCGCTGGGACGCCAAGGGCAAAAAATTCCCCTTCACTGCTGAGAGTGAGCCCGAGACCCACATCGTTGATGGGTGGGTCCCTAAGGCAGCAGGGAATGTAGGAGCCGGGAACTTTCTCATGATCTTGAGGACCATTGTCTGGGCTTGAGGGAAGAGTCTGGGATTTTTTATACTGGAGCAGCTGTGCAGTTGTCATTTTATTTTCCTTTGTTATTAATCTGAAGTATTCTGGGTTTCAAAGCTGATAAGGCTGGAAGAACCTTGGCTCATTGAAAATATTTCTGACTGAAAGTGACAAAAACGGCAGCCAACTCTATTTTTGTTCGAAAGCATTCAGTTTTCATTTTTCTCTTATTTTCTAATGACAACATCAAAATTCTTCAAGGAAAGAAATCTCTTCTGTGTGTAAATTTGAATTTTGCTAAAAATCAATTTTTTTTCCATTAGAGACAAATTTTGAATGAAAAGATCGGTTCCATGTGCTCATGCTATTTTTTATTTTTAATTAACTTGTCTAGTTAGAACAATCCATTTGAATAAAGCCAGATGCAGAGCTGCCCTCTGGGGATGTCAGGCTGCAAGAGAACGTGCAGCAGGGATGACCACAGTGGAGCGAAGCGGGGGCTGACATGGAACCGTGCTGTCCTCTGGGTCTGCCACTTCCTTTTGCATGCAAAGCAGGCTGGAGACATCAGCACGAGCCAGCTACGGCTGAGAGCATTCCGGTTCCCATCGCAGAGCTGTGATGCCAACAAATACACCTGGGTACCCACAGCACTCAAGTGTACCTTCAGCATGGGTTAATTATCCATGGCTGTAGCCACGATCCTTGTAGATTTCTAACATGCTCTAGAGCCCCCTTTTCCCCCGGATTTGCTGTCATGTGTAGGCAGACGGTAGGTTCAAGCCAGCTCAAGGCAAGGCAGGTTGTGTGTGGCTGAGCCACAGGGATGGAGTGAGATGCTGGTGGCCAGCCCGCCTCACCTTCCCGCAGCTCTTGAGCCAGGGTGGCTGGGCCTGCGGGTCTGCACCGCACAGGAACGGGTCAGACCTACCAAGCGGGGCTGAGAGAGGTCCCGGGGGTAACGGGTTATGAGCAGATATCCTTCCAATTAAATGGGAAGAAGCTTCTGTGTTAGAAATGACCTTGAACCGCTTGCTGTGAGGCACAGATGAGACCTGTGAAGGAGCTTTCCTCAAGCTCAGGACTTTTAGAAGAAGCTTTGTCCAGGGCCACGTTACCCAGCATAGGACGCTGAGTTTGGACGGACATCCCTCAAGCTCTGGGCTGTGGGTCTGGGTTTGCATTTGGAGTTGAGCATCCTCTCGATTTAAACCTCAGCAAGGAACTTCAAGGCCACAAACAGAAACCATCAAAGAAATCAAGCCCCCAGTTTTACCATAACTTGCCCAATTACTTCCTCCGCGGTTTCCTTCTTATGCAGAATGACAAAGGCTCTGAGCGAGCCCTCAGGCGAGCTCAGGCACCCCTGGAGCCGGGGAGAGCCAGATAGTGCCACGAGCTGGCAAATGTGGCCACGTGCGAGCCCAGCGGCTGCCTGGCCACCACGGGCTGAGCTGGTTTTGACGCCCTAATGAAACCATGCTGGAGGAATGAATGGGTGAGAGTGTTTTTGTTAAAGCTAAAAGATATTAACATTAACCAAAATAAAGGGTTGTCCTGTCCTGTCCTGTGGGCCGTTCCCAGTTCTGAGACTGTGACACGAGGAATGGAAGAAATGCACAAATATAAATCAGCCGCTAAATGTGTGTTGGTCCAACAATAAAAGATGAGATGCTAGAGCTGCTCATTGTGTCATTTCTAAAGATTTACTGCAAAAGAAACACAGTTTCTGACTCACTATTTCATTCCCTAGAAGACATGTTTCTCTTTGTTGGTTATGGGATTTAGGAAAAAAAGTCTTATCTTGACAACTGCTTCAAACGGAGCACAAACACAAGTGCCGCAATGTAAACAGGGCAGAGCTATCTCTCGTTGGGCTTTCAGCTGGATCCGTTCTTGCTCCAGAGATACAGGAGAGCAAAACGGAAATGTGGATTTTCATATTCATGTGAGTCCTGCAGCCGGCCCCGGCGCCGCTAACTGCCCTGTTCTCTCTGAAGGAAGAGTGACGCTTTCCAACGTCTCCGAGCGGAAGGATAACATGCGTCTTGGTCTGAGCCTGGCCACCAACCCCAAGGACAACAGCTTCCTGGTAAGGAACGGGACGTTTTCAGTAGCTTTCCCTTCCTATGCAGGGAGTCGAGGCTTTTCTGTGATATACATAAGTATAAATGCATAAAGTTATACAAATATGCAGGCATAAATATATGCATATATTTGTACATACATATGTGCATGCATATACATGTTTTTCAGCAGCTTTGTATCACCTATTTGCTGTTTTAGGATCTAGCTCTCAGGCTCCTGAGCAGTGGGGTGGTCCTTCAGCCGCCTGCTGTGTTGACAGTGTTAAAACACCCTTTCCCGTTGAGTGATGCTCCAAACCCGGGCTTTGCTGACCTTGGTGGCTGCACTTGTTGTTGCAGGGCTGCTTCGGCACACGTGCAGCCTGCACCCGCGCTGGGTGTCTGCCCGCTCGCTGCGGCACCGACGGGTCGTGCTCCCTTATCTCCAGGGGGAGGAAGGTGCCAAAGGAGAGCCTGGAGCTGGTCTCCGCTGCACTTGGCAGGTCTCTCCACCAGCTCCCACTCGCTGCCCTGGCTGGGATAACGTCCCACCATTCGGGCCAGCAGGTCCCAAGCGGATGGGAAGTGCCGAACCCTGTTTGCTGCTCTTTAGCACCTCTAAAGCAATGGCTTAATAAGTGGCAGTTTTAAAACCGTCACTGATGCTTTATTTTTTTCCTCATTTTTATAGGCCTGCAGCCCTCTCTGGTCCCACGAGTGTGGGAGCTCTTACTACACCACAGGAATGTGCTCCAGGGTGAACTCCAACTTCAGATTCTCCAAGACTGTGGCTCCTGCTCTCCAGAGTATGAGAAACAATCTGTTCTGTAGCCTCTAATGCAAACCCGGCTTTTGAAGTTAAAGAGAATTTTTGTTCTTTAATCGCTCCAGTACCATTGAGGAAAACAAAGTAATGTCAGCATGTAAAAGGAGGGAAGATAGCAGAGGAAATTATTGCAGGAAAGTGATTCAAAGGGGGTTTCGTACGTGGACATCTGGTAAACATTTTTCTTTTGATTGACACTTGAGGAAGACAAAAAAATACCTTATTCTTCCAAAAACAGAAATAAAAGTAGCCAGAATATTTTATCAGCACAGTTAGAAAGGCAAAATAGGGAAA